CTTGCACTAGCATCCAAGTATTCTCAAGATACTTCTTCTCATCTCAAGGTTCCATTGGTGTGGAGACTTAGAGGCCATATACTTTTGTGGCTCACAAGGAGGAGAAAGATCAAGAGGAGATCAACAAAGGGAAATCATCAAGAGAAGACCAAAACACAACTTGGTTCATATTATAGCTTCAAGGGTAATTAGAACTTATCCTTTCTCTTGAATTTTCATTTATGAAAAACATATCAATGTTCATGGCCTAAGATACTTGGAAGAAGTTTTGTTTTGAATTTAAACAACCACCTTATTCTTCCGCTGCGATTAATTTGATTAATTGTGTGTTTAATGTTCAAAAGAACTTCTTAAAAATGTTTTAAAATCAACATTAACAACATCCATTCCCTGTGCATCTTTGTTGGAACCTCAGCCTCATTTGTAACAATATCCAAATTCACATCATCAACCTGGACATTAGAAATATCCTCCATACACTCAGCATTATCTGACTTCGATACCTGCTGTTTGGCTTGCAAAATAATAGGGCAAGTATCTCAACCATGCCCATAACACCCACATTCAAAGCAAACCAAATTAATCCCCTCATGCACAACCCCATAAGTACGGCATTCAATCTCAATGAAAGGGGTGAGAGGCTTAGCCAAATCAAGTTTGACACAAATTCGAGCAAACTTACCACGAGCTTGACTGAGAGTATGAGCATCCACCTTGACAGTAGCACCAACAAGATTTCCAATTTTTTCCATGACATTAGCACGAAAATATTCAACATTCAGCCCATTAATTCAAACCCAAGCAGTCATATGGGTGATCTTCTCCTCATTCGCATTAAACCCAAGCTTCCATTTCTGTGTCACAATGTATTGGCCAACAATTTGTCAAGGACCACTAGTAAGAACGTATCTCATATCTTCCTCATAAAGGAACTTCACAATGAAATATGTGTTCTCTAGATCTATTAAGCTCATAGGACCCTTAAGTTCCCATTTCTGAAGAAGACGAGATCTAAGAAAGGTGTAAGCCAGAGGATGACCCATGAGCTTAAGGGAATTGCCCCTTGCTTAATCACAACATCATCATCGACAAACACCATATGATCCTCCACCATACCAAAATCCCCAAAAACTTTATCCTTAAAACTCATTGGGATTGGAGGAAGAGGGGGAGACGGCTCATCCGATTCCAGTTTGCCGACATCCAACATCTCCTGGGTACGAGCTCTCTTCTCACCAGCAATAGGGCCATCTTTAAGAGAACCACCCACCCCAGCAGAGAAAACAAACTCTGGCATCACAGAAGCCGTCGTCGACGGCAGCTGCAATCACAAACCCTTAGCAAACGCAAAACTAGTGAGGAAACAGAGAAAAACTTCAAAGTGCGTGAAGCGCTTTCTTTTTCATTTCACTTTTCCTTTCTTAATGTAATATTTTTTTTTGTTATTATAATTACCAAATTGACATGTACATTTCTTTTCCTCCATACCAAAGGCTTTTTGTTTATTATTGAGGGCATAAATTCCATCAAGTTTATGTATAATTGAGTCTTTATTTGTATGCAAACACAAAAAATTTGATTAATATATCAATAACAACCACCGACCACCACTCAGTTGTCTTGTGAGTATTGTTGTTATTTTAAATTTTTAACTTTAGTTGTTTGTGCAAAATTGAGGTTGTTATGAACAATATCATGTAGTGTTGCCCATTGCACATTAAAAACCATAATTTAAATATATCCATACATCAAATAGATATCCAACACTTCCATAAATCACAAATTTTCCAACCCCACATATGATCCATACTTGTCTTTAAGCAACATACTAGCAACAAAAATACATTGAAAATGAAGGGAGAATGCTTATTTCAAACAAAAAAGCCACTCTAACATATGACTTGCTCATTCATCTCAAACTTTGTCCAATTGCATTTTGGTGTAGATGTCCTTCCATTTCATAAGTCTCACATACTGAAATAAACATGAAAAGAGCATATAAAATGGAAACATAAACAACAGGAATATGAACATAAGATTAAAAAGTGTAAGGTGCTAAATTTGCATAAGATACCACTTCAAATTGCCCAATATACAGATTTGCAAAATCATATAGGTGAGCAGTTCATATTCAAGATAAAATTGAGATTTCATTGTATAACTCAACCAGCACAAAAATTTTCCAAAATCCATATATGAAAAATCATATTCTTGAACAGTTCATTAACAAAAATCAGATTTCATATTATAACACAACCATCTATACACTAATTGCCCAATAATCTTTTCAGTCATACTCAAAATCAATTGTAGATTAGAGATCAATAATTCAGTTTAATATCATAACACAACCATTCCTTTAATTGCATAACCATACCTGCAATCTCTCAACTGACAAGCAAGTTCTCAACAAGGCATTGCAATAATATCCGCATTCCATAATCGGATTACAAACAAAAAAGGAATACAACTCCAAAAACAAAATTATTATAGGGTCAACGAGGTAAATTTTCAACCCCAAGAATAACAAAACAAAATCTTTGAATCTAAACAGAACAATGTTATTAACAAAACAAGATTCTTAGCCCATGTGTAATCAAACCATAGTGACAGACACCACTCACCATCCACAATATGCCTCTGATGATATCCTTACAGTAGGTGTGCCTCCAACAAGTCCTGTTTGAATACCATGATCCAACTTCTTTTTTTTTTTTTTTTAAATGAACTTTTATTCCATGAAAAGCAAAAAATACAGAAGAACAAAAACAAGAGTGGACAAGAAGTTCACAGGAACACCAGAAAAACAAAACACCATGACACCATGATCTGCAGACTAGTGTTAGGCATGACTAGTAATTAGTGAGCCAAATATAGAGCTAGGTAAGTTTTTGAGTAAGTGATTTTACTAAGCCAAATAGAGCAATGGAGAAACTAAAATTTCACTAACCAACTTGGCCTTCAAGCCCATTCAATGATTCAAGTAGTGACAGAGTACGCCATTTTCTTAGAACATCATTCTTGCTGAATTGTTTAATGATACTTTTCGACACATGCATAGAATCACATATGCCTAACCAAAGGCAAAAGCCATTGGCAACACAAACAATATACACACTCAAACTTGTATTTTAAAACGAAGAAAAATTACCTTTGAAAAATGTTGTAGAGAGAGAGAGAGCATTTGAGAAAAGTGGAAGAAGGAATAAGAGAGGTATCAAAAGGAGAGGCGGAGTCACGAACGAGAGAGAGAGAGGCGGAGTCGCATGTTCTCAATTTAGCGAATGGCTTATTTTGCGAACCGAATTTTAGGCTCTCTGTATAAGAACAATGAGTAAGGAGGTTTTTTTACTATTGGACTCCACAATCCCATTTAACTTAATCCCCCATCTTACCAAACATGGGCTTCAAGTCCTATTTAGCAGTCCAAGGGAGTGAGGCCTACCAAACATGCCCCTATCGTACTAATTAGTTCATTAATGAAGTCCATAATATCCGCATTCCATAATCGGATTACAAACAAAAAAGGAATACAACTCCAAAAACAAAATTATTATAGGGTCAACGAGGTAAATTTTCAACCCCAAGAATAACAAAACAAAATCTTTGAATCTAAACAGAACAATGTTATTAACAAAACAAGATTCTTAGCCCATGTGTAATCAAACCATAGTGACAGACACCACTCACCATCCACAATATGCCTCTGATGATATCCTTACAGTAGGGTGTGCCTCCAACAAGTCCTGTTTGAATACCATGATCCAACTTCTTTTTTTTTTTTTTTTAAATGAACTTTTATTCCATGAAAAGCAAAAAATACAGAAGAACAAAAACAAGAGTGGACAAGAAGTTCACAGGAACACCAGAAAAACAAAACACCATGATCTGCAGACTAGTGTTAGGCATGACTAGTAATTAGTGAGCCAAATATAGAGCTAGGTAAGTTTTTGAGTAAGTGATTTTACTAAGCCAAATAGAGCAATGGAGAAACTAAAATTTCACTAACCAACTTGGCCTTCAAGCCCATTCAATGATTCAAGTAGTGACAGAGTACGCCATTTTCTTAGAACATCATTCTTGCTGAATTGTTTAATGATACTTTTCGACACATGCATAGAATCACATATGCCTAACCAAAGGCAAAAGCCATTGGCAACACAAACAATATACACACTCAAACTTGTATTTTAAAACGAAGAAAAATTACCTTTGAAAAATGTTGTAGAGAGAGAGAGAGCATTTGAGAAAAGTGGAAGAAGGAATAAGAGAGGTATCAAAAGGAGAGGCGGAGTCACGAACGAGAGAGAGAGAGGCGGAGTCGCATGTTCTCAATTTAGCGAATGGCTTATTTTGCGAACCGAATTTTAGGCTCTCTGTATAAGAACAATGAGTAAGGAGGTTTTTTTACTATTGGACTCCACAATACCCCATCTTACCAAACATGGGCTTCAAGTCCTATTTAGCAGTCCAAGGAAGTGAGGCCTACCAAACATGCCCCTATCGTACTAATTAGTTCATTAATGAAGTCTGTTAGAGATGCATGCTCTAATAATCGAACCAAACAGAAGTGCTTTCGAATAGCAATTGACCTCAAGTATCAAGTTTGAGCTAGCTAAATTTGCACTTTCTAAGAAAAAGAACAAAAAGAGAAGCTATTTTTCATCAAGAACCGCTTTCGAGTAGTACTTGAACCTCTAAGTGAACAAGCATTGTGAGAAGAGTGATCCAAACAAGCCATTTGAAAGAGAGAATATTTGGGTATACCGTCAAGTAGTTCAAGTAAGAAGAACTTAGTTTAAGGGAGGATATACTGGGGAAGAGGAGGCACTTAATGATACCGCATAGTAAGAAGAACTTAGCTTTCGATCAAGAAACCAAATGATACCACACAACCTCTCCCATACCCTACTAACTACCAAGGAATCATCATGAAATCTCTATATGTTTATTGTTTTCCATTCACAGAAAATAATTTGCAGGGAAACCTGGACAAGGAGCATTCTTAATATATTCTTTATAGAGATTGAAATTAAGACGGCCACAAGTTGTTATACACTCCATGATCAATCCACATAACACCAGTTGCTTGGCAATTAGAACACACCAGAAACACAATTCACATAGCAGACAAACTTATAGATGATGTAATATCCAGATAACATGTTCTGCCCTGAGCGTACAGGGAGATGTATTCTGCAGAGACTTGAGTTGCTGCAACAGCTCAGAAACCATGAATTTTGATGTTGTCTTTCTTCACAATGCCAGCCTGTAGAGAGAATGAGAATCAAGATCAGATTCCTCTAAATTGTTGCATTTTCAAACCATCTAATAGAACTAAGATGCCAAAAACTGGAAACAATCAAGCAAGCACTTCCACAACTTAACACGACCTTTAGAACACATTTAACATCATCTAAACCATTTTTGGGACTGGTAACTACCTGGACGAGGAAGGAAGACACATTCTTTCTCTGATCACCTTGAAGCTGAATGACCTGTAGACAAACAAGATGGAAATCAGACGGTGTCTAGTACAAATTAAATTATAGCTTTTACCATATTAAACACACACCTGTCCTAGTTCTGGGTCCTGAACAACTGTACCATTGCAGCAAAATTCCTTCTTAAGGTCTTTGAGTATCTTGTTGTAGCTAAACTCCTTCTTCAATCCCTGCACGGTTGTCAGGCTTTTCCTCCCGTTCCGTTGCTGTATACGAATGTGCACATACTCTTTTGTCCCAGCACCTGAGTCCTCAGCATTTGCCTCAGCAAAGGGATCTGAACCCAAGCATCAGTATTCAAATTAGATTAATGAAGGGAGTCAAAAGAAAGGATGAGAGACAAGGAAGCGAAGGAGGGGTGATATCCAAGTCTACAAACACATAAGACCTTGTGCAACAATCAAGAGAACTTGGAGGGGCTAAAAACAGAAGGGGTTAGCATTGTAGAAGTGCATAATTCCTTTAAAATGACTGATTGGTGCCTTTTTTCTCCAGTAGAAAAAATAAAGTTATCCTATTTTTGGGTGAATTTTTTTTATTTCTCCTTGCTTTAGATTCTGAAAATGGAATGCTTTCCCACTCGATGTTTACTTATTGGGTATTCAACTATCCAGACTCAAACCTACGTACCTTGAAGTAAAGGTCACTGATTTAAAAGGGAGCAGCCTACCACCGCTTTTTTCATAAGTTCAAGGAAAAATAATAAAATCTATCCGAGACAATGTGGGAAATAATCAACAAGGGTTTTATTCCATGCTTCAAATGTATACCAATAAAAATGAGTAGCAGACTAATAATGAAGTGGCAGCGAGAGTGCATGTGCAATGTTCAAAGAACCCCATGCCCAACCTTATATATTTCATTTCACCACACATACACTTTGGTCAAGGTTGGTTTAATCAGATTTTATAGCACATAATCCCAACACTTGAACCAATGACTTCAGATTCATAAAATTAGTGGGAAAACCCAACCATTTGGGTTTCTTTGGGTTGATCAGATTTCTGAAGAGTACTAGTTGACACACTCTGTTGATATACAATAAAAACCAATTGCTCAAACAACAGTCCTTCTAAATTGCAGTAGTCTTACATGTTAGTGTCTAAAATGATCCCTTAAGCATTTGGGTATCCAAGTTGTCAACCAATATAATGCCCCAGAGCTATCAAACAACATATCCAAAAGAATTCATATATAGAGTTACAAGCATGTCTGCAAGCGCATAAACACACACAAATGAGTTATGAATAACACTGAACATACCAAAGGCGGTAGGAATCTGTACGTCGAGCTCAGACATGAAACTTGGTTGATTAACCTAAGAGGGCCTGCTAACCAGAATGCTCAGACCTGGATCACATCAAAAAGAAAATCTAAATCACAATTTTATCTGACCAAGATAACCCAAGAATAAAGCTGATAACAACATAAGAAAGCACAGATCACATAATCCAAAAACTTTTAACCCATCAAATTTTGTCAACTTTGCCATCATAAGGGAGTAAACAGACTCTAAATCGAATGCAATTGCAATACAGAAGACTCTGACCAAGATAACCCAAGAATAAAGCTGATAACAACATAAGAAAGCACAGATCACATAATCCAAAAACTTTTAACCCATCTAATTTTGTCAACTTTGCCATCATAAGGGAGTAAACAGACTCTAAATCGAATGCAATTGCAATACAGAAGACATATAATTTTTTAAACTCACAGTTTCTTTGGTCCCTAAATTTCTGACTTCCCTATTGATGAGAAACAGAACCTAGTTAAAAGTAAAAATTGAAAACAAAACAAAAACAAAAAACACAAAAAGAGGGTTAGAAAGACAAAACACCAAAATTTTGTCTTCATATTAATCAAATATATTTTTTTTTAAATGATTTTTTTTTTTCAAGTACTAGAGGAAAAACAGAGCTCCCAATGAAAAAAGTTATCTTTTATCTTTTTTCAGATCAGATTGTGAAGACTTAGAAGTAAATCATCTAAATAATAAAACTTCGTTCTACTCTCTCAGAACATCTTCGCTTCCTAATACTTCCATTCAAACAAAACTAAGAAACGATCCCCAATTTATGTACAAAATCCCTAAAATTCAGAGCAGAAATAAAACCATAAAAACCCTAAAACAGAGACAAATAGGAATCGCGGGAATTAAAGACCCAATTACCTGATCCGATAATTAGGGTTTTGGAATGGGCGATTCGGAAAGAGGAAAAACCCTAACCCCAAAAATCAGATAAGCCTGAGCTCTCTCGACCTCTCTTTCTCTTACTAGATTGCTGTTCGGGAAGACAGAAAAAGTGAATGGAAAATATGCTTGAGATGGATCTTTTGATAATAATAAGTTTATTTAATTAATAAAAATAAAAATAGGTAAACAGTGGACTTTGGATTCAGTCGGTTCATTTGCAATCGCAGACGTTTTCATTTGATAGTATACGCGCTGTCAAGGGAACTTTTAAAGTTTGCGTCGACAGGTGTCGTTAGGATATAGCGAGTGTGGATATGAGTGTATTTACGACGGTGTGTGAGGTAGGGAAAGAGCAACAAGGTTTTGCGTTCCTCGTTGAAGTAATGGATTTAGTCGGTCTTGTCTGTTCTGGACCGATCAATACGGCATCGTTTGTGGTTGGCAATCGACGTCAACGTTTCACCCACGGCAAACGTTAGGGGTAAAAATTGAAAAATACATGTCATCTTCCTAGAAAATCCCTAATCCCTTATTATCATTTTTATTTTATTTTATACTAGTGTCGTATACTACTTGCCTTGTACCCTTGAAGGAAATATTCCTCTTTTCTGTAAATTACAGTTTGATAGATATGCAAAAATAATTCATAAAAAACACAAAAAATAAAAACGTCTAGACACGTCATACTGCCCTTAGTTGGAATGTAGGAACCCCTAATTAGAGAATCTCCAATAGCCTCTTCAACAGCTTTGGAATGCTAAAATATGTAAGCCACATAAGAAAAACTTTCTCCAACAAACTTGTCAAACTTAGTCACCAAAGTTGCAACCCCTTTCTCTCTTTTCAGGACTGACAAGTTGACCTTCACTCTTCAAAATATTTAATTTTGCTTTGGAATAACAAAACCTACATTGAAAATGCTAAAAACCTACACTTTTTCTTTTTAAATAATAAATACATAGACTTTCTTTACATGTTTTCATTTTTTTTTCCCATAATATTACATTAATTGAATTGAAGAGTGTATTGGGTGACAAGTTATTAATGTAGCAAACAAATATTTTCAAATTATCACATAAGTCAACAAACTTTACTTTGAAGAGTTCAATTTGCTACTATTATTAGAGATGCTCTTACAATGAATGAAGGATGTATTTTCCTAATCTAAACACTCTAAATTAACCTAATATACATGAGAGGATCTGAACTATAGGGTGTAAAGAGGCAAAGAGGAGGGCAGTGAGCCATGACCAACTCACACCCACATCTATATTAACATAATCTACAATAGAGTATTTGAACTAAGGTGTAAGAGCATCCACAATGGTGGTGTGTAAAGCCACTTTTACATTCCCTTTACACCTCTGGGGAATGTAAATATAATTTTTGCTTCAATGGGGAAGATGTAAATTGAAAAATATATATTCGATTTTTTTGTGTTAATCAAAAGCAATTAAATGTGGGCTATTTATTTTCAAAAAGAAACAATTTAGGCCAATCATTTGGTGACCGTTAGAGGCTTTATTCAGCTAATTTGCACTTTGTCTTCCGTCGGGCCTGCCACTTTGCTTTTTCTAGAGAGTATCCTTCTACTTGCGCGTACATCGAGAGTGAAATCACCTTTTCAACTGCTCTTCTCTCTCCTCATTTCTTGCTTGTGAGGTCAGCAAAATGGGTGTAAAAATATATGTAAATTAGCATCTTTTTTATACACATCCAGTGCCCAATGTTAATTTACAAACCTTTTCATCCTCCCACTGCAACAACTTTCGGTGGCAATATGTGTATATTTAGCATACATCCACCCTTACACACTATATTATGGATGCTCTAAAGAGGCAAGCAGTGAACCATGGGCAACTCACACACCCACATCTACTCTTTCTTTTTATCTTTAATAAAATAAATAAAAACGTCTTTTCCATTAAGATTTAGAAAATTATGAAATTGTTTTTAATTTTCTTCTTGATGATGAAATCATATTGGAAAATATCATTTTAAAATTATTTCATGACCTCTAGTGAGATTATGAGACCTACCGTATATTTGGTTTATTTTTCTATTGCTGAGCATTTTAATATTATTTTGCATGATGCATGGTGGACATTAGTTTACTAATTTCCTAGGTTCGTTTAACCCAAAAAAATGCTAAACATTGTTATCAAGCAATCTTCCCTCCCTCAAATTTTTTGTCCTTCATTAACCACCTATAAAAATATCATCAACTCTCGAGCCTAATTACCATCTAATTATAGTTAAAATCCAACCACAATGTCAAAGCTGACAACCCTACCAGCAACATTGTTCACAACCCTACTTCTGATTTGCACATTAATCAGTACTTATGAGGCTAATAGCACCGCGATTAACAATGAACATCCTAATAATTGTACGAATTTCCAGACCGAGTTCCTCAGCAACTGTGATACGTTGCTCACGAGATCATGTAACGAGTCAACTCAATGTAACGCGACACAAGTTCACGAAGAATGTTGCCATCAGCTGGAGGTGTTGGATTTGCAGTGTCGTAGTAAAGGGTTGTTGCAGCAGGTGGTTCAAAACTACAGGTTTTTGTTTACACAGGAGGATAGTTTGAGAGAAATGATGAGGGTTGCAAATAAGATGTCTCTGACTTGCAACTTGCCACCCTTGTATTGCTACTTCATGCTGATCGACACGTGGTTCGACCCTAAAAACAAAGCTTTTTTTTTATTTTCTTTCTTTTTTAATAAAATTTACACTGAAGAACAAAAGAATGCATGTTTGATACAAGTTTCTACAGAACGCAAGAAACTTCAACATGTCCCAAGAACAAAAGAATGCATGCCACAACTGCACCTGATAACAGGGACGGATACATAGTGGGGTCAAACGACTTTATAGACTCTAAGGAAATAAGCTTGAAGATCCTCTTGAGCTAACTGGGCGACCCAATGAAATGCCCTTCACATGTTTGATATATTTTTAAACATGTTGGCGAAAACAGCATCATTTTGGCCCAGTGCTTATTCTTTTTTTAAAACAGGCTGGCCAAAACGGCGTCGCTTTGGCCCATTGAATTTGTTTTAAAAATGACTTGGCCAAAACGGCGTCATTTTAGTCCAGGTCTTTAAAAAAAATAAAATTTAATAGTTCCAAACATTCCAAAACCCCCATTCTTTTCTCCTCAACCCTAAATCCCCAATCTCCACCCCCTAAACCTTTAACCCCCATCTCCTCCATTGCCGATGTAAAAAAAAAAAATTGAACTTTTACACTATAACCCTTTAAGGTAAGATTCCTGGGACCGTCATTGCATGAGAATACCACACTTATGTGTGGTGTCAAGCTATATTTCTTACTTCCTCTATAATATTTTGCTGGTCTGAAGTGAAGCAATTAATTATGGCTCTGTCTGGATCAACCAACACAGAGCCACTGTGCAAATTAATGATAAATATTGACCGTTATCTAAATCAGTCACTGCCAATATTTCAGAACTTGGTCATTAATGGCCCCCATCCCGCTTCTTTTTTTATTTTTATTTTTATTTTATTTTTTATTTTTTACAGCCATTATCATCCTTTGCTCCTTTATCTGAAGGTTTGTTGATTGATACTAATACATTCCACATGCATACGTTACATTTAAGTCATAATTAATATTAATGTATAAAATAGTAAGAAAAGTATTTTAAATTCACTACTAAAAAAAACCCCTTGCGCGACCAAACTTTGCGCGACCAAACAAAATTCGTCGCGCAAAGTGACTTTGCGCGACAAATATAAATCATCGTCGCTCAAAGTCTTACGCGACTCAGTTTTGCGCAACGAAAAACAAATCGTCGCACAAAATCACTTTGCGCAAGAAAACTTTGCGCGACGGCAAAGAATCGTCGCGAAAAGTAACTTTGCGCGACGAATACTAGAATTCGGTGCACAGAGTTTTGCATGACGAATAGTGATTCGTCTCACAAAGTATTTACAAAAATAAATAAATAAAAAATTATTTTACAAAATTTTTGGATGCCTTTGCGCGACGAAATAATAATCTTCGTCTCGCAAAGTCTATACAAAAATAAATAAAATAAAAAAATTATTTTGTTAGAAAAATATATTATTGTAGTTCGGATTGGGTTTTTGTTAGAAAATATATATTTTAAATTGACGATCAAATTGGTTCATTGTATTCATATAGGGTCAAGGAATGTAGCTGTAAAAAATCATCAAAATCGGAGTTAAAATAACTGTTTAATCGTGATTTTTGTTTATAACCATCGAAAAGTTTTGTCCCATTACGTGATCTCTGAATGTTTATTTTTTCCGATTTTTGGCGTATATGATCTCGAAGTGTAAACAAACAAATTTGACGGTTGGATCGTTGAAACTAGTTTCGTAGAATGCGTATGCCATAAAAACAATATATTCACTAACAAATAAGAGTTTATTTATACTTTTATTAAATATAACACAAGATTTTGTGGTATCTACTAGTGTAAATATTTTAAATTGACGATCAATTGCAATCATTGTATTCATACAGGGTCAAGGAGTGTAGCTGTAAAAAATCATCAAAATCAGGGTTGAAATAACCGTTAAATCATGATTTTTC